GCGTTTGGGGTCGCTGCCGGCCGCGACGGGAACCAGGGTGCTGCCGTTGGAGGCCTTGGAAAGGGGGAGTTACCGGGGCCGTCAGTGGTGCGGGGGCAAAGGGGGCGGTTTCGTGCCCGGCGCCCCAGATCGCCCGCTCCCCTGCCTCCTGCGGGCTTCTCTTCTGCTGCGCAGAGAGCAGCCCGCTGCCTCCCTGCGCGTGCCGTCGGGGTCGGGACTCGGGCTGAGGTGATCTTAGTTGTGACCAGGGCCACCCCCGAGCAGCTGGAGGAGGAAGGGGGCTGCTCCACGGGGCTTGGGCCACCCCTCTGAGGACTCTCAAAGGGCGCGTGTCACTCTGACACCCTGTTTAGTTCCCTCGCCGCAGAAGTTGTCCATGATTCGCACTGCTGTCTTGTCGTCCATTCCTTGACAGAAAGGCAGTGCCTTTCTGGGGGTTAGAGGTTTCTGGGCACGTCTGTTTAACGTGCAGTTTGCAAAAGCATCCCCTGAAGAGTCTCAGTTTCTGTGTTGGCTTTAAGCACTTGCTAGTACTGTCAGCCACCTTTCTGTATCCTAAATCCACTTGCTATAGTCTCTACTTTGGTCAGCTGCCACCAACAGTGCTATTTGATGTTCCTTTACTGCGCTTTACTTTTGTTCACTCTGGTACCTCTCTGATTAAGCACCCTGGAGTCCTTGAGTCTTTATTTCACACAACTTTGTTCTGTTCTTCCCTGTTTCCTTCTCCTTAGCGCCTGATTATTTCCATCATTCTTCACTACTGAATCCATATTGTCCGATGGTAATTTGTCGGGGGAGGTAATTTGTTTCTTGGGACATAATTTGTAAGAAAACTGTTTGAACTGGTAGAGGATGCTCAGGCAGAGACCTGAAGTGGTATATTATGGTTTAGTATTTTTTATAACCAGACATGTACACCAGCTGCTGTGACCGTGGTCCTGCTCCCTGGCCTGTCAGAGCAGGTCATCGTGCAAACAAAGCACAAACCTGATACATGCTCCAGGGCATGCTCAGCCTAAACAGAAATTAAATGACAAGGTGAATATATATATTAAAAAAAAGAAACGTAAATGATGAAAGGATAATGCTTGTCATGATAGTCACAGCACAGTGGTAGTCTGATTGCTGTCTTCTTTTATAGAGTTTTACTTTAAATGGTGAACTCTACAAAGAAGCTGCTTCTCTCCAGCCTCAGCTTTGTACAGAATTGCTCCTCTGGCTGTGGGATACAGAGGATGTCGTCAGCAGGGAGGAGAGAAGCTTGAGCGTCCCATTTGTAATCAGCTCCCAGAGGTCCAGGGTTTAAAAAACATCAGAGGGTAGGGCTGGGTCCAGAGTGATGCAGTGCTCACTGCCAGTGCCAAGGGTGAGTGTGGCAGCAGTTTTGTTACTGGTTATGATGTGTTTTGAAAATGCAGTATACGGGATGTAGGGGCAGCATGTGAAAGAAGACTTCCGGCCTGGGCATGTGCATGTGATGTTAGGAAAGCCAAAGTTCAGCTGGGCTTGAGATTTGCAAGGGTTGCAAAGAGTAGTGAAAAGAGCTGCTGCTGTACTGGTGGTGCAAGGAAACAGGTGAGACTGCTGGGGTGAGTGATCAGTGCCAGTGGCGAAGGCGGAGAAACTGGATTTCTTCTTCAGCAGGGTTTTCCAGGCCCTTTGGGAAGTGTTCAAAGAGAATTACTAGGAGTGAATGAGGGCTGGAACAAGGATTATTTGAGAGAACTTGACATGTATGAGTCCCTTGGACCTGATGAACTACATCCAGCAGTGCTGAAAGATGTAGCTGATGTCCTTGCAGGGCCACCTCCATCATCTTCGAAAGGTCGTGCTGACCAGGAGTGGTCCCTGATAACTAGAGAGAAGTGAATATTGCACCCATCTTCAAGAGAGCAAAAGGACAATCCAGGGAATAACAGCCTAGTTAGCCTCACCTGATTCCCGTGAAAATCCTGAGCCATGTCCAAACCTTCCAACCTGAGCTACCCAGTGATCCCATGAACTCCATAGGAGCTGCACTTAGTACTCAGAGTAGCTTCAGTGTGAACCATTTCCACTAATGTTTCAATATGTGCATCAAAGTTGTTGTCAAGCAAACAGGTGTTTTTGGGTTATGTATATAGTGCTGATCCAGTTTGCTGGGACACGCAGAGCACGCTAGTTCTTAATCTACGGAATGTCCCGTGTCGCCTTTGGAAAGAGACTGCAAGTACTTTTAACGCACTGTAGCAGAATACAGCCCATATAATAAAGAAGAGACATTCTTTCTTAATGTGTTGGGACTTGCGTTTCTTCCTTTTGCAATGTTTCTCTGTGTCCATAAATTCTATCTGACGTGTGATACTTGTCAGCCAAAAGTTGCCTAAAAATAAGACAATGTGGCTTGTTGTATTTATATTTTGTGGGGGTTTTCCTCTCAAATGAACCATATCATAAAGGCCTGTTACTGTGTTTTGGTTGTGCCAAATAGTATATCTGTAAAGAGAATAAATCGTTGTTCTCCTTACTTTGCAGCGGCTTTGAAACGTATGTTGAACTTCAATGTTCCTCCGGTTAAAAACAGCACAGGAGAACCTGTATGGAAGGTAAGTACTTGAGCTAGAACAGCAGAGTTTTTCAGTGCTCTAGAAAGTTTAGATTTAGCTAAATTAAGTTTACTCTAATGTTCTTAACTTGCACAGATCTTTTTTTCCAGTTAAGAATATATAGAAATTGTATGTTAAAATTTCTGGAAATTATATATATTTGAAAGATGGATTACTTAGAGAGACAAAGACTAACAGATTCTGTAGGCAGATATTTTAATGAGCAGCTGGGGAGAATGTTTTAGAATGTGCTTAGGTCTCATTGATATCTATTGGCATAAATTCAGGTGAGAATTATAGGTGAACTCAAAAAGTCACAAAGAGACCTACAGAAAGGGAAATAATTGAAAACTTTAAATTTAGGACAAGTTGAGATCAAGGTATCTTCATTAGCTTTAAAGAATTAAATAACTTAATTCTGAGGAATTTTTTTGCCACCAGAAATATTCTGTGTCTTCATCTGTTCTGTTGTCTTATGTTACTTCTCCCTCTGTTTCCTCCCAAATATAGTCGGAGAAATTCTGCCCATTTGATAAATAACAAATTACCGACAACCCCTGATCTGACTGACATTTTTTTCAGAAGGAAGTGATGATTTTTTTTCCATTTATCTTTGAGCTTTTTTTTTTTTTTCTTTTTGGTCCTAGTAAGCACAAATGTACAGGTAGTTTGCGACAAATTAATGATTTATTATAAATGGATAAAGGTTTAACATATGCAAGATCATGGCAGTAGTTCCTGAAACGTGAACTACTTCATCCACTTTCCTTACTGCTGTGTAAGAAGGTGTGTATCTTTACAGCCATATCTGTGTTACAGGTTCTCATTTATGACAGATTTGGCCAAGATATAATCTCACCGTTGCTGTCAGTGAAAGAGTTGAGAGATATGGGGATCACTTTGCATCTGTAAGTACTTTAAAAAAAAAAAAGGAGGGGGGGGTTGTTTTTTTATTTGTTTAAGTAGTTTACCTAATATTCCAAACAAGTTATGACAATACATGTAAAATCATTTAAAGAACAAGTGCTAAAATAAATATTATATCTTATTTTCCTAAAGTCAAATGACATTATTAAGAATCAAGGTCTGATGAAATGATATTCTTCAGCAGCATATTCTACGCAGTATAGGAGGCCCTTGTTCAAACATAAAAATTATCCAGTAAGGTTTTTTTTGAATATCTCTTTGTACAAATCTCTCATATTTCATATATGTTAAGATTTTCGGGCTCAAATGGTTTGTTGGGATTGTGTATGCTCCTTGCATGCATTTTTACATACAAACTTTAATTTTATCTTATCAAAGCTACAAAATATTTAAATATTACTTTAAAAGATTTTCAACTTATCTTTAAGTTGTTTTTAGTTTGCTGTTGCTCGGTAGCAACGGCACGGAAGTATTTTGAACCTGCCTTTAGGTTTTTCAAAAGTTTATTAATTTTTGCTAAGTGAAGGCTAGGATTGAAACACAATTTAATATATTGACACATCAGCAGAAATGAAATAGAAACGTGTTAGCATCTTGCCTGTCCTTGCTTAGAGGAGCAGGTTACTAGTATAAGTTAAACTTTTTTGATGTTGTTATGCTTTAAATTAGCCAACAAGTTGTATTTCATATATAAGCTTTTTTGAATGTTGTATTTTAGTTTCATGTAGATGGAATAATCAAGATTCGAGATTTTTGAAGTCCTTTCTTAATTTTCAAATAAAATTTCAAGATTGCCATTGACATATTTAGCTACTGAAAAAAAATGAGTTTTTTTGCTTTTTTTTCGTGTTACATTCTTGCTAAAATCTAAGTAAATAAAATGTCAGGAGATGTTCTAGGGAATTAGATTGTTCCTTACAGAAGTGGTTTCTTTAGTGTTACAATGTTGCAACTCTGAACAAGGACGCCTTAGAGATTTAGTTTTCGTTCTTTCAGGCTTTTGCATTCGGATCGGGATGCTATTCCAGACGTTCCAGCTGTTTATTTTGTAATGCCAACAGAAGAAAATATTGACAGAATGTGCCAGGTAATTTGTGTGCTTGATATCCAAAATGAGTAGATACAACACAGAGAGAGTGTGTTAAGTAATCTTGTCCCAAAGGGAATGTCACTATTCTGCATGCAGTTCTTGTGCGTGTATGAATACACCTTTGCTTGTGTTTTATTACTAAGAAATCTTTGTCATATAATATGTTTCTCCAAAATTTTATGTGGAAAACTTCTGTTTTTCAGAGAGTAGAAGAGTAAATGTGTAACGGAGTTTTGGAGAGTGAGTTCTGGGAATGAGGGGACAAGCAGGCGCAAATTAACATATATAGAAATTCTATTTAAACATAAAACAAACAAACACCTCTTTTATAATGTGAGAATGGCCACCCAGTGGAACAGGTTGCCCAGAGGTTGTGGACGCTTCATCCTTGGAGATGTTCAAAAACTGGCTGAGTTTTGCCTGAGCAACCTGCTCTGGTTGGACTGATCTGGGCATGGGATAGGACTAGGTGATCTCCAGAAGTCCCGTTCAGCCTCAACAGTTGATTCAGTGGGAGGAGCTGACTGAAGTTGTCATCTTTACCAGAGGAAGAAAAAGTGGCAAAGAGTAATTGTAGTCTGTAATAATGTGTAAAAGACAGGTTATTTCTTAATTTATTTAATTTCCTGGCTGTTCTGAGAATTTTGTTTACTAATTTTAGTCAAAACACTATGTACAAGGGTGTATGAATCAGGCAGAAATGGTAATTTGCCTATGATATTGTACCACCTTGTAAAAGTGTTTATATTTTTAATAATTCCAAAATATATTAGTATTTATTCAGGAAAAACGTTTTGGTCTTCCTTACTTTTAGGATCTTCGAAATCAACTTTACGAATCATATTATTTAAACTTTATTTCTGCCATTTCAAGAAGTAAACTGGAAGATATTGCAAATGCTGCTATAGGTGCTAATGCAGTAACACAAGTGGCTAAGGTAAGAAAATCACACGGTCTCCGTGTTAAAGATACTATTGCTGCAGGTGTTCTGGTAGTCTTTTTTGGCCACTTGTATGGCACATGTGGCTTTTTTGAAGAAGAAAATGAACAGATTTCTTTCTATTTTGTATAGTTTGACTCAGTGACAGCATGGATTTAGTGGGGAAAATAAGGGCATTACAGTCATCTCATTAATCCTGCTTAGCACTAAAGTTATCTTAGAAGTCCAAGTGCTGCAAGGCCTTTGAGGTGAATGATAAGGGAGAAAGTGGCTTCAGAGGCATTCCCAATCTCATCAACTCAGTAACTGCATCCAATCATATTTAATGGTGTGGAGGTTTTAGCTTATAATACATGAAAAAGTTTGTATGAATGCAGTTGTCATTTTAAATGATGTTCAGTAGTGAGTGATCCGTACATACGCACCGTGGTACTGGACACTTGTAGACCTTTAAAGACCAGTGGACTTGCCAGGACTCAGTCTCTTGTTTTTCGTTTAATACTACATATTATTAATTAATGCCAAAACTACATATTATTAGTTATTTTCATATGCATTTAAATACATTTGTTTTTTCTCAGTCCTGTTGGGGATAACTACTGGAGTGAGAGAAGGAAACAGTTGGGAATTTAAATGAAAAACTAATGATGCTTTTTAAAGCCCTAGATATTCAACAGGGGTAAATTGGTGTAGTGCTGTTGACTAATTTTATCGTATGTATTCATCCCATTCACAATTTATGCTATAGAGGTTTCACTTTTTTTCTGAATGTGCAAGTATTTTACAGAAAGTTTGGAACTGTGTGAAATATAGTCTCCTATTCAATATGTATTGCCCTCTCTTTTGTCTCTCCTGGCTGAAAACTGTCTGTATTGTAGTTCTTCATATTAGTAGTACAGTATAACAGTAGTATAGTAATAGAAAATAAGTCTATATTATTACACTGTTTTCCATATATATTGATGTTTAACTACTAAAAGTTCATCCACAGAAATCTCTGAAGTTGGTTTGTTTTCTTTTAGCACTCTTCAGGAGTGCTCTAGTATTCCACACTCAGCGTTTACAAAGACTTTTCTCATTCGTACAATATGTCTTACATTTATGTCTTCTAAAAGGTAGCTCTATAACACTGAGGTTCAAACAGAAGTGCCAGTAAATCACAAACAGATGTTTTGTACTTCATTATGGACTGTTCTGACTATTGTTCCTTGATTTCCAGGTATTTGATCAGTATCTCAATTTTATTACTTTGGAAGATGATATGTTTATATTGTGTAACCAAAACAAAGAGCTTGTTTCATATCGTGGTAAGTTGAGCAAAAAATATACTGGAATGTTTACTTTTGAAGTTGTAATTAATATCTAACAATGTTTCTATATGACTTTTCATTTTAAGTTTCTCTAAAGTGTTAATATGTAGATTGCATGCACATATCTCTGCATCTATGTATGTTTTTTCACCTTTGACCTCTTCAGACATCAGGATAGCCTGCTAGGTGTGTAGATTAAAATCATGAAGAAAGCAGTTCTTAAGTCTTGAATACACCATTTTTACCATATGACTATTGTAATAGTGAAATATAAATACGTATTTTCATTTAGGAAAAGAATTAAGATTAAAATATAGTTGTGTTGAACACCTAATTATAGTTTAAATTTTCACGATTTAAAATTTAGCCAAGGGGAATTGTAGCATAGATTTATATATGGATAGTAAGGCTTTTTATGCATGGAGTTATTTAGGAATCATTTCTCCTTACTTACACATACAGAGAAACCCTGTGGTGGCTGCTGCGTGCAGGCACTCTTGTTTAGTCATGAGCTCTTCTGCGGTTCTTAAGGGATTAAATACTTTGTGAATGTGAATGGTCTGTTATAAAAGTTCTTAAGGGATTAAATACTTTGTTTGTGAATGTGAATGGTCTGTTATAAAGTTGCCTATAAGCAAAGTAACACAAGAAAAATGACTTTGAATTGATGAAGAGTTGTCCGGACCTTCTAGGCATTAACCAGGCAGTGCCTGTCTTTGCCAGTCAGGATATGAAAGCAGGGGTGCAGACACGTGGGGAGATGGTTGAGCCCAGGGGCTGCAGCAGAGCAGGGAAGAGCCTGGGGAGGAAGAGCACAGAAAGTAGGAACTGCCAGTGCACTCCAAGCACCTGAGGCAGGGAGCTGTTCGTCAGCTTCTCCAGGAAGTCTCAGAGCTGCAAGTGAAATGGGCCTGGGGGAACTGCTTTGTTTTTAGCTCTCTTGAGGCTTCTGTCAGGGCTGTTTTGGAACCTAGCAGAAAAGCTATGGAGCTGCTTCCGCCAGCCTTAGCTCAGTCACCGGTAGGCTGCAGTGCAGTCTAAGGCAGTGTCTGTACTGGCTGTCAGCAGCAACCACCTGGATTTTTGTGCTTCTCTGAGCCATTAGTATGCTGAGCTGAGTGAAGGTTGTCACCCGCTCGCCACTGCCCCCCTTACTCTCATGGCTGGCTACTAGGTGGTGGTGTGATTTGATGCGAGGGGAAAAATTTGGTAAGAGATGAATCCCCTTGCATTCCCCCCGATCCTCGAAGGTTAGAGGGACTGGAGGCAGCTGGGCTCGTCTCTTCATAGGGATGATACCAAATACTATGATAGCTATAGGCCTGACTCTGGCAGTATCAGGTCCACGAACAGCGTGTTGACTGTAGATGCAATCACCTTCAAAACAAGTAGTCAAGTAGCACAATTTATTCAAATGCAACATCTACAAAGCAGTTTTTGGTTCTCAGTATGGGAAATTCTCTGCTACAGTGTGGAGTTCTTAGGCAGTTCCTAGGGTACAAATGCACAATCATCCCTCACCTCAGAAGATGGGAGAGGGCTCTCAGCCTCGATGAGTCTCCTCAGGCAGCGTCCTGACCCAAGGGGAGGAAACAGGTTCAGCCCGTTGACTGATCCAGAAGTCAGGTTCAGCCCATTGACTGATCCAGAAGTTATGGTGGGGTCTGCCTCTCTCTCATCTTCCTTCTTCCCTCTTTTTTCTTCCTTCTTCCTCTTCCTTCTTCCTCTTCCTTCTTTGTCTTTCTTCTTTCTCTATATATCCCTCCTTAGTTCACCTTTTCTTTTACATTTAGCTGGAGCTTGAGTGACTCTAGTCATACTTACTCTCGTTATTGATTGGTTTAAAAAGTCTCTCGAGTTAATTGAAAATCCAGAGAGCGTGGAGTCTGCCCTCTCCCATCTTCCCTCTTCCCTCTTTTTTCTTCCTTCTTCGTCTTCCTTCTTTGTCTTTCTTCTTTCTCTATATATCCCTCCTTAGTTCACCTTTTCTTTTACATTTAGCTGGAGCTTGAGTGACTCTAGTCATACTTACTCTCGTTATTGATTGGTTTAAAAAGTCTCTCGAGTTAATTGAAAATCCAGAGAGCATGCTCAGCGAGGAGTGGTTGTTCCTTGGAAGCGGGTAACTTCTGGGATGGGGTTGTGTGTTGGTATTATAATGAGATTAGAATGAGGAGAAGTTTGAGCAAAGTCCCGTTCGCTCACCAGCTGCCCGGCACCGTCAGGTCACCACCTCCACAGGGAATCCCACACAGGTTGGCCATGGTGTCTCTGTTCTGCTCCACTCTTCCTTTACTCTTATTAGTGTGTACTGGGAGGGCAGATCGTGTTGCTGAGGAAATCGTTGGCGCATACCAACCACACTGGAAGAGGTAACTGTCTCTCACCTCAAGCAAGCCTCTGTAATGCCAGAACTTCTGTTAGGCCCTAGTTTTTCGCTAATTTCCCCTTTCTCAAGCAATTCTCCCACAGGCGGCAGGAGCTAACATGGCAAATGTAGGCTGATTTTCAGTTAACTGATTTGCTGGTGCCGTGACTGCGTTCATGGAGAAGTAGCATGAGAACAATAAGCATGATAACACTTTTCAGTTACGTCAAAGGCTTTCAGAGAGAAAAAGGAGGTAGGAATTGGGTAGGCACAGAAATACACAGGTTTAGCACTTCTTTGGGCAAGGGGGCAGACTGGGTGATCCCTTAGCCTTCTTCAGGATCTTTCAGTAACTGTTCGTAGAAGGAAGAGTAACTAATATTGGTATAACATGGAAGTTCTTGGAGGTTGATATGCAAATGTTATATACCCATACATTTATACACAACTGTATCCATTTGGTTAAAAAAAAAAAAAAGGTACTGTAATAAAAATAATCTTTTTTCCCTCCCCTGTGAACTGGGAGACCATTAGTTGGAAGTTAACTACAGGAACTGATACCCCCAGTTAATGTCAAAATTTTGACATTACAAGAAAATACAGAATTAGGAGCAGTCTGATGATTAAGAAAAATGAGCATGGAATAAAAAAGGTGCTGAGGGGAGCACTTCTATTGCTGTTGTCTTTCTAATAGCCTAATAATAAGTTTGACTTGTGAAGTCTAGCTACTGATAAAAACTGCTAATATAATCAATCTCTGTAAAGTTTTCAGAGGACAAAAGTAGGGAGAAAAAATATCATCCTTAAATTAGAGAGTGATTTTGGCTGACCATGCATAAATTTGGGATGGAAAGCTTAATAGTGCTCTGAGCAATGAAGTTCCTGTTTGAGGTAAGGAGATAAGGCAGGTAACTACTTCAGAGATTTTTTTGAAAAGTAAAATAAAATAAAGGAAGGGGATTTATGGTACCAGTGCAGAGTTAGTGCATGATTTGATACCTGTAATAAGATTAAATTGATGTTTCCTATGAGCTTTTATATTCTTGTCAGTGTTAATTCCCAGAAATGCTGCTAAGCAGTTCTTTTACTGACCTAGCAGCAAAGGGAAATATTTCTATCTGT